TGGAGTCGGTTTAACCAGTTCCTTGTTATTGATTTCATAGCTGTAATTCTCAGTATCCTGTATATCTGTCTCTGTCCGAACTCAGTTCAGGTGGTGATGTGACCAAAATGATTCAAGTACCTGTTTACATTCAATTACATTGATCTCATAATGCTACTGAGCTAGCTTAGCACAGAGCTGTGACCCCTGACCCCCCACCACTTAAACCCACTGTGTTAGACTTTATTTTCTCTGTGTCACTGACAGTACGATACAGTATCTAATAATATCTACTAATAACTACATTACAGTTGACAGGAGGAGAGGTTACTGACTGGTTTTTCTTTCTTCCAGAGAACTAATAAACTGCTCCATCCTGAAGCTGCTGTGAAGCTGTTACCATGGCAACGTGAGTAACATTTCTACCACAGTATCATATAAGGGATAATCAGTGGTGGACTGGTGTCTGGAGAAAGGGGTATACTCTTAATTTATTACCCAGGTTTCTTTCTGAAGAGGTTCGTCTAACAATGAATAAACTCCCTGTGTTATAAACAGTAACATATAAGATTACTGTAGCATATTTAACTCATCCATAAAGGGCTCAGTAATATTCACACATTGTTACTGAACGTCTGCTGTTTGACTTCAGGCAGTAAGGATCATAAGGACAGATATGATACTGACTTTGAACTCATTCATTCTTCACAACCTCCTTCCTAAACATTCACTTTGACTGTTTATAGTTCAACAACCTGACTTCCTAAAGGTTTTCTGTCAGAAGTATCTTTTGCATTAGAATGGGCGCCTGGCCAATCGGAGCATTTGAATGCTACACAGGACGTATCTTACCAAAGAAAGCAGTGAGATTCATAATAACTTCTCTTTTCTCAACCACCTTCCAGTTCCACTGACATCCTCTCATACACCATACTGTATGGCTTCATATAAAATTACTATTCCTTTCAATAGTAACTGTTACTCAACTGAAGACACAGATAATGTACTTTTTGTACCAAACCAAACGTGTGAAAGCTTGTCAGTAGTTTTCAGGATAACTTTCAGTTATGTAAATGGTTTTCAGTATAATTCAGTAAATTAATGATTTTGGTTCAAATGTGTATGTTGAAGAAAGAGTACATGCATACAGTAGATGTCTGTGTATAGAAACTGTTTAACCAACCGACCATGCTCGACTGAATGACTGTGTTAGTTTTACTATTACTGCTTTATTAATCAGCTTCTAATGTACCCATACTGTAAATGTGTGTGTGTGTGTGTGTGTGTGTTTGTGGCTCTTGAACAAACTTATGTCCTGATTCTTGTGCTCTGAGCTCACAGTCAGTGTTACTGTTTTACCTCTCAGACTGACTTCAGATCAGAAGAGGACTGATTGTGAGGAGCAAGAGGAGGACAGTTCAGACTCTAAAGAGGAACCTCCACTCTTCAGTAATGAACCCTCAGATAAAGAGTAAGTGAACTGCTACTAAAGAGTCGTCTACACAGAGAACAATATCTATAACAACTAGAATGATTCTGACTCATTTATTAATAGAACAGCAGGATGTTCAGACTGTAACTAATGATTATTTTCTCATAATCAATTAATTAAATGTTTGGTAAAAATTCTGAAAATAACGAGAAATATCACAATTACCAAAGTGCAAAATGAAACCTTTACAATGTTTGTTTAGTCCAACCAACAGTTCAAACCTCAAAATGATTACAAACCAACCAGGTAAAATAGTTTGTGTCTGATGGATTAATTTAGAATAAACAGCTGCATCAGAGGAGTCTGGTTATAATCTTCATTAACAGGAATTAATGGCAGATATTCATAATGCAGAATTCTTGGTGTCCGTGGTATAAAGACACTGAACTGCTTTACTGTGAGACTAAAAGGGTTTTATTAAGACAGTGCAATACAGTAAATATAACTGATTGCTGGGACCAGAGTCTAGGTTTGGAGGAGCAGTTTGTAACTAGACCTCAGTAATAACAGACCACAGACCGAGAAGTAAGTTTGAACTGCCGGCTTATTTATATAGAAGAGTTAGTAGTGGACATACACAGTTGGCACCAAATCACACACATCATACACGAAAAGAAAAAGAACATACGCTCAGTTTCTTTGAAATATTTCACATTAATAATGTCCAGCTCTCAAGAGACGTGTTATTCCTCCTATTTTTACCTCTCTTTGGTTTGCGTTAAATCGAGTTCTAACGTTAAATAACTTTCAACTTAGGGTCCTTTAAGTTGTTATTTGGTTCCTGTTGCCACCCACCTCTCTTTACTTCCTGTTGACTATCGGAGCTCCGCCATTGTTACTATAAAAGGCAAGCTAGCTGAGAACAAGCAAGTCCAGCCAGCAGCCTGCAGCCTAATGTCTGGGCAAAGGCCTCAGCAGACAAACTGTTCAGTCATTGGCTGCACAGCCCAACACTAATTTACATATGTAAATGTATGTAAATTTTTTTTTACGGCAATGTCCGGCTAGAGTCACAAAAACGGGAAGGTGTGTGTGAACCTTCATGTGGGACTGTTTTCACAACCTCGGTCAGTACAACAGTGGACTGACTGAAAGACTGTTCCTGAAAGAGGGATTGTACCAACTGTCTGTGGAGAGACAACATCTATCAATATGAAAATGTGGAATTTAAACCTGTATTAATGACTGTAAGCAACACAATACATTACTGTCTCACATTCAAACTTTATTATGTTGGAAGATAAATTACATCACAGTATATAATATAAATGATAGAATATTCAGTATACAGTATTTTTAATGGGGTTCAAACATAATTGCAGCTTTTACAAATACCTGAAGGTGAACTTTGGTAATAATACTTTTAAGTTAAAATATCAGACTATGAAATATGGATACAGTACCGTTAACAGTTGGTTACTTGGCAGTTTTTAAACCACATAAACAAGTTACTTTATTAGATGAGTGATTCCTTCAGTTATGTTGACATGTTGTACAGGATAAAGTATTCCAGGTTTCTGTTTCCATGGTCTCAGTAAACTAATGTGTATAAAGAATATAACAGATGGGAGGTTACAGTAATCATTATACTATTACTCTGATTACTTTGGTACATTTACTGGCTGTTTCTTCACTAGAAACAACTGCTTGACTAATGTTGTTAATATTATGTAATATATAATATGTTTAACTTCACTGGGCTGTGTAGACTGTAGGTCACTGCTCACTGCTGTACCTGGAAAGACATAAAACACAGTGTTGGTTCTCATAGTTAAGGTATAAACACTAACATTATGTGATAGATAGAGGTTAATATATATATATATATATATATATATATATATATATATATATTATATTAGTTATATGTATGTATATGTAGTTAATATATCAGTATTTACCTGAGGAAAACGTCACAGAAAGCTGTAATCCTGATTGTTGATGTTGTTCATTTCTCCGTGATTTCAGGTCAGACTCCCGCTCTAACATGTCCGCTGGTGAAGTTTTTGCTTTAGAAGCAGTTATTGAATTAATATTGATAAACTCAGTAGCAGTGAGGAGCTACCTGCCGGTGTGTCGGTTTAACTGGTCGTTGAATTAACTGGTGATATTCCCGAGCATTGATGCAGATCTGTACACTAGAAATACTGACTGAATTGACTTCTTTTCATAATTTTAACCAACCAGAATGAAATCCTTAACACTGTAAACACTCCAGTTCTGATGTCTAATAAGATTAACGGAGGTACCTGGAGTTTGAATCAATTTTATTTGCGGCGGCGATCTCCGGACGCTTGAAGAGAATGACACAGTAGGTGACTGAGTCGATGCCTGTTCCAAACACTGCAAATGTCAATAAATAATGAAAAAAATGTTCTTTCTGTCGTTTTACGAATCCTTATTAATCTGATGTCAGGTCTATTTGAGAAGAGTTTATACTGTCACACAGTCTGTAAGGAAACATACAGTCTGCAGTATATGTTTAACGCAGTGTGGAGTCAGCTGTGGCAAAGCGTGATAGCCCAGATCAACTGGTGATAGCCTACAACATTTTACCATCGATCATGTCGCGTCTACACTTTTATCTCACCAATCACAATGATATTATTTACATAACAGCACACTCTTTCATCCAAGTTAGACAACTGTCAAATCTCATTTTGCAATAGGAAGAGAAATTGGATAATGTTAAAACTTTAATCAGTAGTGGGTCTACGGTATACAAATCCGATTCACATGGGATTTTGAATAAATGGCACAGAGATTATAAGATGTGATAGAATTGTGGTATTATACATTGAAACAGTCAGTATATGTTTAATACCATCTTCAAGTAGAGTTGTGACAAAGCATTATGATCAGATTAACTTGTGATGCAATCTGTCTACCATTGATCACGTTTCATAATAAGGTTTACAGACTTTATCTTTTATTTATATTCTATACATGTCAGCAAAGTCTTTCAACCAAATTAGATATTGTTACCTATTTTGCAATAGGGGCAGAAGTTGGATGCCCAGCTGTACAAACTAAGATCAGAACAGAATCGTCTAGGTTTGGTTAACTACGCACAGGTGCATGTATGGGGGTTGGGGTGGTAGTATATGAGTTTCATTCACATGTCAATTCTTTTTAGGTTTTTAAGTAAATTTGGACAGGGATCATCAAGTGATAATCTTGTCACAGTCACATTTGTAAATGCTGCACAATAGTAAAACCTGAAAGCATGTCAAATGTGATTAAATTGTGTCATTATATATGGTAACCATAAACCTTTACAACATATTTTAGAAATAATGTCTGTAATTTGGAATTGGAATTTCCCCATTGTGGGACAAATAAAGGAATATCTTATATCTTATCTTATCTTAATTTCTAACTTGCATTTAGACCCACCAAAATCAAATCATTAACATAAGGTACATGTCATGCCAATAAATCCTTTACAAAATGTTTTTGTTGTCTTCATACATTGATATTATACTGACGTCAAAATCTTTTCAGAACAGTTTATACTTTCATAAAGACTGTAAATATGTAAACCCATCTTGAAGTTAGCTGTGGCAAAGCATGATATGACCAGATTAACTTGTGATACAACAGCTGTTTTCATTGATCTTATTTCCTTTTAAAGTCTACAGACTTTTATTTCACTAATCACAATGATATTCTGTACATGTCAGCAAACTCTTACTTACAAATCATTTCTTTCCTTCAGTCACAAATTGAAGAGACAGGAGCTAAAACCGAGCGATTCAGACAGAGGCTGAAAAGAGGAGCTCAGCTATAGGCAGTATGAGAAAAATAATGTGTTTTTTGGACATTAAAACATCTAAACCTATTGTAGGAGAGCCACAAAATACAATTATGAACCTGAAAAAGGGGCATAATATGACTCCTTTAAAGGAGTAGCACACAAAATAAAATAATAATAAATAATTACTTACTTAATGCCTAATGTTATCTATTTGGCTGCATCACATTTATTGTTTGTTTACCCTTTTATTGGTTTTAAGGTAATATTAACCTGGGTTACAACGGCAAGTAGGGTGATTTTATGTATTTCATTATATGTTCAGTGAGTTTTGAACTTGTGTCTTTACTTTTCTACAGGAACAGCTCGTCCAAATATAATGACATCATCTCTAAAAGTGTTCTGATCCAATCAGGATCTCCCGCTGTCTACCAGCTGAAACCAAAGAAAGAGAATATTGGAACTCTAACAAGAATGACTCTTGGTGAAAAGATGTGAACAAGACAAACAGAACCATTTTACTTGTTGGTGAAACAGGAGCAGGAAAATCTACTCTGATCAACGCTCTGGTCAACTACACCATGGGAGTGAAGTGGGAGGACAATGTCTGGTTTCAGATCGTAGAGGACGAGAAGAACGAGAAGGAGCAGAAGGAAGAAGGGGAGAGAATTAAATCAGAGAGTCAGACACCAGATGTGATTGTTTATGAGATCTTTGGTTTTGAAGATAAAACTCTGTCCTACTCTCTGACCATCATCGATACTCCTGGATACGGAGATACCAGAGGGATCGAACAAGATGACATCATCAGTCACAGATTATTCGACTTGTTCCGCTCAGAGGACGGAGTCCATGAGATCAATGCAGTGGGTCTGGTGCTGAAAGCGACTGAGAATCGACTCAGTGACAGAGTGAGGTACATCTTTGATTCAGTGATGTCTCTGTTTGGAAAAGATGTGGAGAAGAACATTGTTGCCCTCATCACTCACTCAGATGGTCTGACATTTAAAAATGCCCTCCAAGCTCTAGAAGATGCAAAAATTAAATATGCCAAGAATGACAATAAGCCGGTTTATTTCCAGTTCAACAACCACCAGAACAAACCGAAAACAGAGATAGATACAGCTGCTTTAAAAAGTGCATGGAGCTTAACAACAGCAGGTATGAGTCAATTCACTGACTTTCTGAAAGACACTTCATCTCAGAAGCTGATAACAACTGTTGAAGTGTTGAATTCACGAATCAGACTGACAGCCTGCATCCAAAACCTGAAAGAGAGAGTTGAGTTTATTGAACTACAACAGAAAGAAATCCAACAGACTGAGGAAGCTCTGAAGAAATATGAACAAGAGATGAAGAACAATGAGAAGTTCACTGTAGAAGTTGATGAGGTCTACAAAGGTGAACAATCTATTGATGGTGGGATGTGGTGGAAGGTGTTTTATGAAGGAGCTGTCTGCTGTACAGTCTGTGAAGAGAACTGTCACTATCCTGGATGTACAATGGCCTGGAAACCAGGACACTGTGAGGTCATGAAAGATGGCCGCTGCACTGTTTGTACCAGGAAGTGTCCTGTATCAGCTCATGTGAAAGAAAAGTGGATCTATGTGAACAAGACAAGAAAAGTTCAGAAGACCTTAGAAGAAGTGAAAGTGAAGTATGAAAAGAACAAGACAGAAAGTGAGAGCAGGTTGAACCTTTTGGAAACTCTAAAGAAGGAAACAGAAGAACTTCAGAAAGATAAAGATCAGTGGTTGGAAGAGTCCTTCCAGCATGTTGTCAAACTGGAGCAGATCGCCCTGAATACTGATTCACTGTCCACTCTTGTCCACTTGGACTTCCTGATTGAGAAGATGAAGGAGAAAGGAGACACAGTGAAGGTCCAGAAACTGGAAGAGATGAAAAGACGAGTGGATAAAGATAAAGGAGCCCGGGCAGCGCTGAGTTACGGGTTCAGTAAACTAACAGCAGCTGGTAAATCAGCATTTAAAGAGCTGATGAAGTAAGTTCCAGCGTCACTGTGAGCTCTCAGTATGATGTCGTCCAGTACAACACTGCAGACTACAACCTTAATAATAATCATATATTTACATTAATGCTCTCTGACAGTGTCAGTCAAACCTGAACATTATTGATCTGTTAATGTAGAATTTATGTCTGAGCTGTTGTATTGGACTGCATTAGATTTTACAGCTGTTTCTAATAAAGTACCACTGAGTGCATATCTGCTAATTAATATATGATAGTGTGTTATTAACCATTTATTACATATTTATATATTGTTAATGAATGCTGAGTAAGGTTAATGGTTTTAAATGCTTTTCAAATGTTTCTAATAATTTGATTTTGTGAATCTCTTTGAAGTCTTTATAATACAGATATACTTTTAACAAACAGCTACAACAATTTGGGCCAAAGATTTTTTTATTCAAATTAGTAGATATAAATATTATTTAGTTTTATTACATTTAATTTCATGTAGCTTTTAAAAAAGAATAATAAATGACATGTTTGGGATGTACGAGGAGGGAAGGATAATACCTATAAATCTAATTAAGTCCAAAGTGACACCTTTACAATGTTTGTTTAGCCCAACCAACTGCTGCTGCTTTACTGTGAGACTAAAAGGGTTTTATAAAGACAGCAAGTAGGGTGATTTTATGTATTTCATTCTATGTTCAGTGAGTTTTGAACTTGTGTCTTTACTTTTCTACAGGAACAGCTCGTCCAAATATAATGACATCATCTCTAAAAGTGTTCTGATCCAATCAGGATCTCCCGCTGTCTACCAGCTGAAACCAAAGAAAGAGAAGATTGGAACTATAACAAGAATGACTCTTGGTGAAAAAGATGTGAACAAGACAAACAGAACCATTTTACTTGTTGGTGAAACAGGAGCAGGAAAATCTACTCTGATCAACGCTCTGGTCAACTACACCATGGGAGTGAAGTGGGAGGACGATGTCTGGTTTCAGATCGTAGAGGACGAGAAGAGAAGGCAGTCAGAGAGTCAGACATCAGATGTGATCGTTTATCGGATCTTTGGTTTTGAAGGTAAAACTCTGCCCTACTCTCTGACCATCATCGATACTCCTGGATACGGAGATACCAGAGGGATTGAACACGATGTCATCGTCAGTCACAAATTATTAGACTTGTTCCGCTCAGAGGACGGAGTCCATGAGATCAATGCAGTGGGTCTGGTGCTGAAAGCGACTGAGAATCGACTCAGTGACAGAGTGAGGTACATCTTTGATTCAGTGATGTCTCTGTTTGGAAAAGATGTGGAGAAGAACATTGTTGCCCTCATCACTCACTCAAATGGAATAAAACCTAAAAATGCTCTGAAAACCCTCGAGGATGCAAAAATTGAGTTTGCCAAAGATGAAAAGAATCAGCCTGTTCACTTCCTGTTTGATAACTGTCAGGATGAAGACAGGACAGAGGACACAGAATACTTTAAACATGCAGATACAATATCAACAAAAGGACTGAGACAGTTCACAGACTTTCTGGAAAAAAATGAACCTCAACAACTGAAGACAACCGGGAACAAAAAAGACATCACAGTACCAAGCCGACAACAAAGAAGCATTAAAAATACAGAAACAGAAACTGTCCCATACAAAGCTACCCGCTGTACATCCTGTCAGAAGAACTGTCATTATCCATGTGGATCCAGAGAGCCCTCAGAGTGTTTGAAGATGGAAGAGGGCCACTGCACTTCATGTAAGTGTCCTGAATCAGATCATGTGACAGAAAAGAAGATCTATAAGGAGTAGACTAGAAGACCTGAAAGATGAGAGTCGCAGAGAAGGTCCATAAACTGGAAGAGATGAAAAATGACAAACTATTATCTAAATAGTTGCCAATCAGTCAAACCTGAACATTATTGATCTGTTAATGTAGAATTTATGTCTGAGCTGTTGTATTGGACTGCATTAGATTTTACAGCTGTTCCTAATAAAGTACCACTGAGTGCATATCTGCTAATTAATATATGATAGTGTGTTATTAACCATTTATTACTGCAGCTGTTACTGCTTTATTCATCAGCCTCTAATGTACCAATAATGTGTGTGTGTGTGTGTGTGTGTGTGTGTGTGTGTGTGTGTGTGTGTGTGTGTGTGTGTGTGTGTCTGTGTGTGTGTTTTACTTCCTGTTCTCTTTAAAGAACAAGCAGCAAATTGGAACCAAGCTGAAACCATGAAATGTTTTTACATTAAAAATTAAAAATAGTTGCC